ATGTGAATTACAGTAATTCTGCATTCTCAAGCCAAAAGTCAACAGGAAAGTTAAATAATATAGGCTGACCATTCTGTTTTGCAAAGCAGCCCTTCATGCTTTGGTACAAACCCACGGTTTTCTTGAATCCTGACCATGCCACAGGAATGCTGTCTGGTAGCTGGCATTGGGCAGATAAAGCTCAGGGCTTTATCCTCAGCTTCTCACAGTCATCTAGAAGCTTCAGGGAGGTACTGAGACCTCTCCTCTGTCCTAAAGGTGAAGGTGGGTTGTGGTAATTACAAGCATAAGTAAACACGCTCATTTTAGATTGTCAAGGAATTCCAGCAAGGGTCTTAGTAATAGCTACATGATGGTCTCCAATATCTGATAATTCTAATCTGTATTTTACAGCAGTGGTCTCTGCAGCTCTCAGTGCTCAACAGAATCTCAGATCCAAGCAGCCACGTGTACAGGGCATGTCTGTGACTGCTGACACATTTGGAACCAGACCACTGTACAGTCTGAACATAAATCAGTTGGGTTGAGCCTGAACTCAGCCACACCTAGAAAGAAACCCTGAAGCTGCTGTAGCAGTGAAAAGCATTTAACAGAGCTCAAAGTCTGAGAAATTATCAGCTGAAGGGAGGTAATTTAAAGCTGCAAAGAGAGACAGGCTGCCTGAATTTGTGCTAGGATTTACCCATGACACTTCACCTATGTTTCCCTCTCCCATGAAGCAGCCCATGTTTCTTCAGCCAAAATGAATGACTTCCTCTGGTAATACTTCGCTTTGTGCTGCCCTGACCAGATGGCTCCAGAAGTGCTCCCAGTGCAATGGAGATGTCTCAGGGCAGCTTGCTGAAGCACTGAGCACCACCAAGTCTGCGTACCTTGAAGATGCAGGCAGACCCAGCGCAGGATGTTAATGGCCACAGCCCCAGATTCCCCTGATCCTGGGTGACGTCAGAGAGTGCCAGTTCTGCTGCTGACCTCACACTGTTGAGGCAGAACAGTGGCCCAGGCTCTAGGGAGCTTTCCTTCCCTCTTTCATTCATCCTTTTGTGCAGACTATGTTGTCTTCTCTCTTTCTGCTTCATAGTCTTAGTCTGTGAGAAGGGAATATAGCAAGAACAAAGCTTCATATATTTATTTGAACAAACAAAACAATGAATGCATGAAGATCAGGCTGGAGGGCAAGGGAAAACTGCTGAATTTTAAGGGATTCCAACAGGTGCCAACCTACAATGGAGAAAAATGCCATTGCCTCACAGTTTTGTTGTGAGCAACTGCAAAGAGACTTTGCTTTGTGGGTGCTGGGCAGCACCATAACCCCACCCCAGCTGGGTACTCCCTTTGTCAGGCTGAGAAAGACACATTTCTAAAGTTTACACTACTCCTGCAAAGACACAACATACAACAAAAAGAAAATAACAGATTTTATGCTGAGCATTTAAAGATTACTAATCAATGAGCATTATTCACAGCTTGATAATGTAGCTGCCTTACAAAAATAATGCAAGTTATAGCTGCAGGGGAGCCCTAAAACCTGGCAGACGTTGGCATCACCTGAACAGTGGCTCCTCTCTGCACACTGAACTGCCATCTCTGAGGCGCGTGTCTATCTGCAGTTATGACATTGCTACAGTGTGGTAAAATGAATGTTAATGGTGAAATAGTTTAGAACCCCAAAAATGGGAGGTTGAACAGAGCCCTTAAATGAAGCTACATTCCAATAAATGAAAGTCTGGGAACAAAACCAAAAGGGCCATGAGGCCCATGGCAAGAAGCTTTGGACCCTTTTTTATCCTCTCTTAAGGATAAAATGCTTGGAGTCTTTAAATCAGAAGTTTGGGCTGCAGGAGGAGGCTTTGTACACTGACATGAGGCTTTGGGCTCCTCACACTGGGGTGTGAGGCTTCAAAATAAAGACTCCTTTCCACATTACAGAGGCATTGAGCCTCACCTCAGGGTGCAAATTTTCGCTGTAGTCTTTTTTTGGTTTTTCCTTTCAAGGCTCAGAGCCTTGGCTGGAGGGCCCAGAGCCTTATTTCAGATCAGGAACATCCTTTTCAGTTCCAAACCCAAGTACCAGAGCTTGAAACCTCTTTCCCATGTCTGAAGCCCCATCTGAGAGCAAAACCCAATCTGGGAGACTCAGAGCTGGATTTGAAGGCTTCAGAGCACCACCAGCCTACTGCTGGCAGGGAGCTTCCGAAACAGAAAGGACCATGTTCCTAGGTAAGCCCTGCTGTGCAAGGGTTAGCAGAACAACAGCCAAACAACTGCAGGACTGCTGAGGCAGGACTGAGGGCTGACGGACACTCACCTTTGACCCAGGGAGAGCCAGGACAAAGCTGATGACTGCTTGACCTTTGGTGTGCTGTATGGGAACTGCTGAGTCATGGCCTGAACCTCTGATTGATCACCTGAGGCGAGCCATGAGTCAGCCAGAGGAGCACAGGTGAAGGCAATTCAGCTGTGCTGCCGGAAGCCAGGCTGCACCCCTCCTAGACCTATTGAAGAGCTGGCTACCAGTAGGGAAGGATCTCTTCTGGAGATTGCCTCTTCTGGTGTTTTGTAGGTGAGCCCAGCATAAGGGTAAGCTTTCCGTTTGTTCTTTTTGTTATCATTGTCCACTTTGCCTACCTCTCTTGATTATATTGTGATTATAACATCTTGATATCCATTGATTATACAGTATGCCCAGCAAATGCTGGACTGCAGAGAGCATCCAGCAGAGGTCTGAGCTCTGGGAAAGCCTCAGGCTAGCTGGTGAGAAGACATGCCTTCTGCTCAGAGTAGGGTACATCCATGCCTGCATGTGGCCCAGAGCCCAGAATGTTCTCCTGGCAGGGAGGAGTGTTACTGTGAAATAAGCCCAGGCAGGAGAGGAGGTGATGATGGCCGGAAACATTTTGCATCTTCATTTCTCATTCAGAGCACTGCTCAGGTGAAAACACCAGCAGAGCTGACAGTTTCAAAATGCTTTAGTCTGTGTTGAAGTTTCAAAGCAAACCACAGACCTTTTACTATGCACACTTCTCTTTATGGTTTTCCCTCAACCTGGTGGCAACTAACTCTTCTCTTGTTTTAGTTCCTCTTCTCCCATAACACCGACTTGAAAAGCAATGATGCCTGCCTATGCTAAGATAGCCGGTGAATAACTGGGCTGAAGCGGGGAGCCATGGCTGTCTATATCCATTCAATGCCTCAAATAGCTGCTGCTGCCCTGCTGCCCCCTGCTGCAGCAGCAGGCAGTGACACATGGCAGCCCCTGGCACCCTGCCTGCTGATGCCACCCATTACCTGCATCGCACCTGCCTCTCTGGCATTTCCGTGCCCACCACCACCGCTACTCATTGTGGTTTGATCCTGGTGGTGCTCACCCGTGCCAGCCTTGCAGGCTCTCTGGGATGCCCTGCCTGACCTTTCCACCCCTGGCTGGCAGTGCCCATGCTAGCAGTGCCTGTGGTGGCTGCAGCCCCTGCTCTGGCCGAGGAAGGGCTGGGAATCCTGCTGCCTCCTGTTTTGGTGTGCATATAGTGCTTGCCTTGTTATGAAAATTACCTCTGCCACATTGACTCATGTTCTTGGTGTAGCACCAGCCTGGGCCCTCGGCTCTCTTTTAGGGCTTACCTGTTAGTGCTAGTATCTGCATCCTATGTATGGGATGGATGGGGCAAACAAATTTTCTTCTCTGCTTTAGAGGCATATGTCCCTGCTCAACTCTTCTATAATGGAAAGGTGGATTATTTTGACCTTCAGTGACTCAGAGGTCTTCTGTCTCATCTCAAGAAGATTCTGAAAGGTAAGCGCTCTCACTTCCAGCAGCTTTACCACAGGTCCTGACTGAAGTTCAACCAAGAGATGTCTCAGCGAGGGAGCTGTGGGTAATGAAATGTGATTAAATGTAAGGAGAGGAGACTTGAATTTTAATGAGATGAAAATTATTCTAGAGAAGGCAGCATCCCTCTGGGGTGGAGTATCCTTTAAGTTAACAGCTTACTCTTTATATCCCCAACTGGGATACTAATTTATCTTCTGCTAATTGCAGGCTCTGTCCTGAGTGTTTAGTTAGAAACTTTTTTTTCTGAACTCCTGTTCTGATTTTTCTTGCTTTTATTCTCTGCTCCAAGCTCATTATGGTGTGTGGTGGGGACAGCGGAGATGTGCTGAGCAGAGTCAGGTCTCAGTCCCTTTTTTTCTAAGAACTCTGACAGACATCACCAATGGCCTCAAGCATCACTCAATGTCCAGAGTGCACAAAAGCAGCAATCTGTACAAAGAAAAAAAAAAAAAAAAGAAACCTTAAGATCATTTCTTTCTAGACTCCAATCTCAAACTGCTCTTTCTTAAAAGCAACTCATATGTACCCTTGTATGCTTTCTTCAATCTCATTTACAGTGCAGTAGTAAAAGCCACCAGACTTTCTTTGATCTTTGTTCTGTTCTTCCCCTGTTGCTCAGGGGTCGCAGAGAAGGTGGAGAGGGAGGAGAGAGAGGAGAGAGAAAGATGTTAGTAAAAGCAGTTACCTCACTGAGTGATTATCTCTTTTAGTTTATTTGGCTACGGAATCTCCCAAATTTGCACAAGCTTCTAGGCCCCACAGTCAAAATTACTTAAAATAAAACACCACCAACAGAAATGGGGAGGACTCTCAAAATAGGCTTTTAAAGTCCTGCTACACAGAATCAGAAACAGCAGGCGAGGAACTGTGATTCTCCTCCATCTCCAATCTGTTGCTAATCATTTATCTATTCAGAGATGATTTCACGTTTTGGCTCTTTCACAAGGTTTTACCGTTACAGGGTCTGGACTCTAAGCCTCAGTCTCTGATTCAGAGACTAAAAACTGGGCCAAGCACTTGGGTCTCAGTCTGGCCCTTGTGTCTGGCTCCCCAGCCATGGGTTCTGGGCGTAGTTTCCAGGGCCAGTCCTCATTTCCCAGCCTGACTGCCTGTTCCCCATCCCCGGGCTCCGTTCCTGGGCCCTACAACCGGTTTCCGGCTTTCAGCCCCTGAGCCTCTGTCCCGAATCCCAGTCTTTGGGGCTGGTGTCAGATCTTGGGCCCTGATCCCTGGGCCTGGTCCTGAGCCCTAGGCCTAGCCGTGGTTCCCGGTCCTCATTCTCGTTCCCCAGCTCTGGATCTGGGCCTCCGTCTCCAAACCGAGTCGCTCTCCCAGAGCCCACAGGCGCCCCGACCCCCTCCGCTACCAGCCGCGCGTAGCACCCGGAAGTGAAAGCAAGCACACCCACCGCCGCTGCCAGGAAGAAGCCGGAAAGCCCACGCTCTCGCGAGATCGTCCCACCCAATCAGCTGCCGCAAGGTTTCTCTCCTTCCCGTATCCCTTCACTCCCAGCGCCACGCCGCGTCGCGGCCGCAAGAACCAACGACCAGTTGGTTCTGGTCGCCCGGGTTATGACGTCACCACGCCGGAAGCGCCGCGGGAGAGGAGCGGAGTTGCGGGAGGAGCGCTTTATTTGGCCGCCAAAGAGGGGCTGGCGGAAGTTTTACGGCGAGCAGTCGCCTACGCAGCTGTACCTCGTAACTTGGCCAGCTTTAGCACCCTGGCGAGGTCGCAGGCGGCGTGCACGGCGTTGACGTCCTTGGTCACCAGCTCCTGCTTGTTGTTGTTGTTGATCTCCCGCTGCAGCGCCGCCAGCTCGTTGAAGCCGCTCTGCAGCAGCTCGCTGTGCTCCTGTAGCTTCACTTCCAGCGCCCTGTCCAGCTCCCTCTGCGCGCTCGCCGCCTCCGCCTGCATCTTGGCTTCCAGGGCTTGCAGGTTCTGTACGTAGCTGCTGCGCTCGTCCGCCAGCAACACCTCCAGCTGCCGTTCGCGTTCCGCCTTCTGCTGCTGTTCCAGGAGCTGTGCCTGTTGCTTCTGGTCTGGGGACAAAGGGACGGGGAGAGGGGTAACCAGGAGCTGAGCCTTCTGCTTCTGGTTAAAGAACGGAGTTTGGGGTCCCCGGGGTACGGAGGGATGGGGGAAAGCGACAGTGCAGAGGGATAGGGAAGGAATGGAGGGGCGTGAGGACAGAGTGCAGGGATGTGGAGATAGGGTGAGAATTCCTCAGGGAGAAAAAAGGGACAATTTGAGGTGTCTCCTGGGCACGCTGGGACACCCCAAGGGATGTGGATACTCTGTGAGATGTCCCCTGGGGATAAAGGGACTCCTCAAGAGATGGGGCCATCATGTCCCTGAAGGCATAGGATGCTCAAAGTATGTGGGGATACCATGAGCTGTCCCCAGCAGACACAGCCCATGGAATATGGGAATACTGCCAGATGTCCCCCAGGAATAACACAAGGTGTCTCTTGTCCCTGGAGGACCTGGGGATGGGTGACGGAGGAAGGAGAGAGGGGATGGCACCGGGACGCACTGCTCACCCCCCAGCTGCTTCTCAGCCTCGCTCAGTGCATTGTCTGCCTTCAGCACTGCCTCCGCCTCTGCCCGGCACTCTGCCAAGAACTCATCCAGCACCTCCTCGGCCTGTGCATCCCCACACGATTGAGGCACAGCCCCTGGCTCCTTGTCCTTAATCCCTTACCTAGAGCTGCCCTTACGTTGGGGTTGTTGCCCTCTGCTTGCCAGTAGGCCTCCAGCACCTGCTGCCGCTCAGCCTCATAGGTATGGTAGGCACCAGGCAGTGCGTAGGCCCCACGGGACAGGCTGGTATCCAGTGCCCGTGCCAGCTCAGCCAGCAGCGCCTTGCAGTGCCACCGTGATGCTGCATCATTCTTCTCCTGCAGGCAGCTGTACTCAGTGCTGATCTGTTCCTGAAGGTCGGGATGGGGGCAGGGTCATGGTGTTGATGGGGAGACTGTCACAGGGACAGGGTTGTGGGGATGGGGAGAGTGCTGGTGGGACCACCGGTGCAGAGTGTTGGGGGGAAATGAAGATAAGGTCACGGGGATGGAGAGCACTGGGGGATTGGGGACAAGGTCATGAAGACAAGGGCAGCCTTATAGGGGTGGGGACTGGACTGTGCGGACAGGTTAGTGGAGGCAGGGTACCAGGGGATAGGAAGTGCTGTGACAGTGGTGACAAAGTCATGGGAACAGGGACAGCCTTGTAGGGATAGGAACAAGGCTGTGAGGACAGGGACAGCACTGTGGCAGAAAGGGGCGGGGGGGGGCACGCACCATGAGGCGCCGCTGGTGCTCCTGGTTGTGATCCCAGAAGCTGCGATGCTGGAAGATGAGTGCCTCATGCAGGTGCTGCCCATGCGAGGCTGAGAGCTATGCAGGCTCTGTGGGCAGTGACAGCCTCTGCATGCCTTTGGCATAGGCCTCCAGCACTGCTGCCACCACAGCTGCGTTCTCGTTGGCCATCGTCGCTGCTGCTGCTCCCTGCAGACAGGGGAGATGCCCTTTGTTGATGGCTTCCATGTAGCCGTGCAGTAGCATGCTCAGGGCTGTGGGGAATGACACAGTGACACCTCCCTCACTGTTGGCACCTTGCTGCTGTGTGTTGCTGTTGTCCCCTGTCATCCCTGTGGTTTTTGTCCCGTTGTCAACCTGTCATCACCCCATCATTGCCTTGTGTCGCACTATTGCTGTTGTCACTCTACTGTCACCCTGTTATTCCTGATGTCATCATTGCCCCGTGTCACCATTATCATCCTGCTGTTACCATGTTTCTGTTTCACCATTGTCATGCTGCTGTACTGTGTTGCCATTATATCCCTTCTATCCCATTGTCATCACTCTGCTATCCCAGTGTTATCTCTCCATTGTCTCATGTTGCCATTGTCACTGGCCCCCTGTTGTCCTGTGTCATCACTGTCACCCCATTTTCACCCTGTTGTCCCATGGCACTCTTGCCTTTATCCCATTTATCCCGTATTGCCTTTGCCTTTGTCACCCCATCATCCAATTTGCCATCATCATTGTCTTCCCATGGTCCTACTGTTGTCCCTTATGATGACATCACTATTATCAGCCTGCAGTCAGTACATTCTCATGCTGTTCTCTTGTGTTGCCATTACAATTGTCTCCTTGTTGTCCTGTGTCAGAAACCCGGTTGCAGCTCCTCCCACACTGCCAGCCCCGTGTTGGCTGCCGGCTGCTCCAGCATGAGCTGCTTGAGGTGGGGGAAGAAGTTGTACAGACAGCCCAGCAGCTCGTTGCTCTTCACTGTAACGTGTTCTCGGCACTGCCACCATCACCACACTGCCACTGCCCACAGGGACACAGGGACACAGTCTAAAAAACAGACTAGCAAACAGACTTTTACTTTTTCTCCCAATTGCTTTGGTTAGGAGGTGCAGCTGGAGGCTGTAACCCTCAGTTGCTCGTTTCATTCAATGAATAATAAATCAAAAATAATTCAAATTAAGGTTATTGATATGGGAGGGAGGGGAATGACCTGAGTAGCTCACACATACTTATTGCATAGACAGCAGAGCTTGATCAAGCTTAATTCTTTGCTTTATGGAATACAATCAGTTTTCCTTTTGCACAAGTGTTTGCGTTCAAAACATCGCTTTCTCTTGTGCACTCTTACAGCTGTTTGCAATTGTTCAGTTACTCACCTCGTGTCCTTTCCTGAAAAGAAACAAGCTTGTTTCCTAACTTTTAAGACTAAATGAAGTGATTTGCTTTTTATTGTCAAGAAGCTGTAGCAATTCTTTTCTTTCTTCACCAGATTCCTAAACCAAAGTCAAAACTAACGAGAGGAGATCGTGCTGGGCAAGATACGCTGGAAACGTTGGCCTGCGACCGAAAAAGCCAGTCTGGTAATAAAAAATAATAATTACAAATGTTTCATAGTTCCATTTTAATCTTATGAGCTGCTAATGTCAGAGTTAAAGGCTTGTTAAAGAGCACGTTTGGTGTCTTGGAACACACCATAAAATGTTCTGCATTTTGGCTGTGTATAAAATGGAGAACAGTGGTTTGATCCTGACACGTACTGGGCTTTTTCTTTTTGTCTCCAGGACGTTAAAATAGAATTTAACTTTCAGTGTCTCCTAGTCTGCTGGTTTCTGCCTACTAATACACTATTTGTCCTTTCTAAGTAGTAAGGGAAGGAAAAATAAGGAGCAGGGTAAGGAAGGCTTGGCATAGGATGAAACAGGCGTAACAGCTTCAAGAAATATTGCCCTCCTGTATGCATCCTGAAAACGTGAGGTTGGTGGTACCTCTCATATGGAAAGATGAATTATTAACTGTGTTGCATGGATTGTACGCCTGGAGTACTTGGCCAGTAGGAAACAGTAAAAACCTGTGATGGGAGAAAGATATATAATATAGTGTTCATATATAACGAGAAGTGTTCAACTGATCGTGCGCCCAATGTCTCCCTGCCATAAGGGGGCTGCCCACCCACTGTTGCAGTAATGAATAAAAACTTTGCTGCTTCACTGAGATAATTTCCTGATCAGAAGTCATTGGAGTTGAGCGCCTCTCACATTCCTCAGGGGTCGGGATTGGGGCCCATCATGTTTAATATCTGTACTGATGTGCAGCTGAGGTCATCCCCAAGCTTCGGTATCCCCGGGGATGGTACAGCCAACATAAATCACAGACTGACAAGCTACTGGTGCTTTCTTCTTTGATACTCTGCATCCCACAGGCAGCGCAGGACTGCAGGAGAATACACCCACATCTACACCGGGATGAAAATAGCTTTCATGAGCCCAAAGGACGCAGGGGAGGGGAGGGGAGGGGAAAGGAAGGGAGAGGAGTGGAAAGGGGAGGGGAGGGGAGTGGAAAGGGGAGGGGAGGGGAGGCAGCTATGGCAAGGGAGCTGCCCTGTGCTAGGAGCGGATGGACTGCGAGGAGCTGTGTCTGAGGAATGGCTGTGATTGGGTCAAGAGCTGTGGGTAAAAATCAAGGACCGGCCCAGCAAAGAGCACCCGGTGGTCGGAGTCTGCTGCAGCCCACCCGATCAGGAGGAAGCTGTTGACGAGCCCTTCTTGCTTCAGCTGCAAGAGGTGTCACGCTCGCAGGCTCTTGTCCTGATGGGGGATTTCAACTGCCTGGATACCTGCTAGGAGAGCAGCACAGCAGGGGGCAGACAGTAGAGGAGATTGCTGGGGTCTGCCAAAGCCGACCTGCTGGTCCAGTAACAGATGGACCGACCTGGTGTGAAGCCTTACTGGACTTGGTGCTCACCAGTGCAGAGGAGAGCGTTAGAGAGGTTAAGACTGGAGGCAGCCTGGGCTGTAATGAATGCCTTGATGGAGTTTGTGATCTTGAAGAATGCAGATCTGGCAAAAAGTGGACCAGGACTCTGAACTTCAGGAGAGCAAAGTTCTGGCTACATATTTTCCTCTCATGCTTTAGTGTCACCTCCCTTTGTGTCCACCACTGATCTGCAGTGGTAAGTAAGGCCTGAGTGCCCAAATGTTGGTCTGTGCGGTCCATGATGGTACTGCACGTGGCCTGCAGAGTGTTTTGCAACCTGCCTGTGGCCAGCCGGTGGGTCTCCCTGTTCCACTGTAGCTGTGGAACTGACAACCTGGATGTTTATCCCATCTCATTACCTGACCCAGCTCTGGTCTTTGATGGAAAAAGAGATCACAGATTTAATGGGAACTTCTCTTATCTGATTGTGATTCTAGATGACTACACTGGTCCTTTCTATCCAGTGTTCTGGTCAGACACAGCTTTTGTTCCTGAGGTGGAACCTCAGGAACACTGCCAGGACAGAGCCTTTGGGGCTCCCCCTACCGTTCTATTTTCCTCCCCTCTTTGTCCCCTTTCAGTTCTCTTCCCCTCCCCGTCTCCAGACAGTTCCACACATGGATTGTTGTGTATCAGCACAGTGCCACTGCAGGCACCTGGCATGTATGGCTGAGATGCTGCTGTGTGGAAGGGAGAGAAGAGTGCTGTGGAGCGATCCCTCCTTGTTTCCATCTGGATGTGGATATGGACGTGTTTGATATGAGCTGCTCTGTCCTGTTTGTTTACAGATGTGAGTGGAGATGAATGGGATGCAGAATCCCAGCTGGCTCCCCGGATGGAAGCTCTAGCAGATGGTATGAGTATGTCATGGCTTTTTACTTCCTTTGTGAGCTGCCAGCTCACAGCCCTAATGTCAGCCAGGCACGCCTGCAGGAGTGAGAGCACAGAGCTGCACGTGCGTGCCCTGTCCCTGCACCATCCTCTGGTACCATCTGCTCCTCAGATGGCACTGTGCCGTTACGCGTGACACAGATGATGGAAAGCTTTCATGGTTCTTTGCTTGCAGAAGTGCCTCCAGAGAGAGCCATGCCAAACCTGCAGCTGCTTCCCATGCCGGAGCCCCGCTGGTATCCCAGGGGTGGGCAGGGTGGTCTGTCTGGATGGACTGCACCAAATAGAGTTCAGTAGCTGGTTCATCTGAAACGTGTCCTGGTACATCCTGTTCAGGTCCTGTGAGACAGAGAGGGAAGTTGGTAAGACAAAGATATTTGCAGAGGTCTTCTCACATTCTACAGACAGTCACGATGGAGAATGCAGTATCTGGTGGGCATATTTCTGTCTGTTCACCAGAGGGCTTGGAAACCAACATTCTACGTATGTGGAAAACATTGATGTCTTCTGAGAAGTAGTTCCCTCTGAAGATAACGTCTTCCTGGTAAGAGCAGATATTTACTGTCCCACTCTGCTACCTTCTTTCTAAAGAGATCGACGGAGAGCCTGTGGATGAGGCTGTGTTTCAGGAGGGCAGCAGCCGCACGCTGCTCTTCTCCCATGAGGACACAGAGGATGGTGCTGAATCTCCCCTGGTGCAACTTGAGGCCGTTCCCTCTCGTCCTCTCACTGTTAGTTGAGAGTAGAGACCAACCCCCAACTCACCACAGCCTCCCTCAGGAGTTAGAGCGCAGTGAGGTCTCCCCAGGACCCTTCTTGCAGCAAGGGACCCAGAGCTGAACACAGCACTGGAGCTGCAGCCTCACCAGAGGAACAATCACTTCCTGATCTGCTGGCAGCACCATTTCTGATGCAGGCCAGGATACCATTGGTCCTCTTGGCCACTGGGCACCCTGCTGGCTCGTGTTCAGCTGAGTATCAACCGACAACCCCAGGTCCGTTTCCTCTACACTGACTTCCAGCTGCTCTGCCCCACGCCCATAGCGGTGCCTGGGGTTGTTGTGGCCAAAGTGCATCTCCAGTTGACCAGGAGGGCTGACAGATGATGGAAAGCAGCTTGGCTTTTCACCTCCACCAGCTCCCCCAGTACTCTTGGATTAATCTCATCTGCCCCCATGGACTTGTGGCAGTCCAGGTGGAACACAGGACTCTGTTTCCTCCTGAATTGAGGGGGTTTATTCTGCTCCCCATCCCAGACTTCCAGGTCAGAGAGCAGAGCACCAAAGAAGAGCTTTTTTTTCCACCCTTTGCACTTCACATCTGTTGCACACTGCCATCTTCCCTTCCCTGAAGCTGCTCCGCCCATAAATGTTGGCAGGGGTCTAAAGCCACAGCCACCAGTCCTGCATTAGGATTTTGTGAAAGGGGTGCAGCATTTGGCATTGGGGTGCAACTTTTTGTTAAAAGGGTTACATCTTTGGGCCTTGGCTTCAGGCTTTTGCTAAAGGGGTTCAGCCTCTTGTTCTTGGGGTTATGCTGTTTGGCACCATTTGACCTTGGGCTTCTGCTTTTAGTTTTCATTTCTCCTGTCTTCCATCTCTATGCCTCTCCAGAGCTCTCCAGCAGAGACACTTTTTTTTTGCTCCAGCCTTCATGGACAAACTCCACTGGGCAGAAGAGATCTGTGCAGACACACAGCAGACATCTGTGTGTGCAGAGGGACTCTGCTCATCCCATTTCTCTTCCCGTCTACGTCTCGTCCCACTCGGCGCATTTTGAAGGGCTGACTCTCTTTCCATCTCCTGAGTCGTGCCTCCCCTGGTCAGCAAAGGACCGCTACTGCAATGGAGTCATCCAAACTCAGAGGAATAATAGATGTCCATTTATTGAGAGCTTTCTTAACAGCCAGCAACAAGCTATTGGAGGTAACATTGGCCAGTGGGCTGATTGCAAGGAATAATGTTAGATGTAACAACTGTAGGCAATGGCTGTGACAAAGAGTCAAAGAATAACAGATGACAAAGAGAAAAGGCAGAAAATGGAGAAAGAGGGACAGACAGCAAAGCGCTCGTAGATCCAGCCGCGTCCTGGTGTCAGGTACGGATCTCTAGTGTGATGGGTCGTCATCGGACAACGACTGACAACGACTCACGACAACAGTAGAAACTCACTGAGAAGTCCAAAGCGGTGGCACTCAGCCGCCTGCCAGCACTGCCCCACAGCTGTGCCTGTGCGCCCCGGGGGGGCAGGAGCAGAGGAGAAGCCCCTTCCATGGGGACAGAGCCCTTTCCCCGCACCCCACCGCGCAGCCCCGAGCTGGGAGGGGCTACCGAGCACAGCGGTCAGATGGGCAGCAGCCCATCACAAACCACACGCAGGGTGCTGCTCGCAAAGTACGCCAGGGAAGCGTACATTGCCCGGGGCAGCACTTGAGGCAGGAGCCGATAGAAGAGCTCCTGGTCGAAGTGCTGGGCGTACAGCACTGCAGAGGCCAGCACAACAATGAGGAGCAGCTGGAGGCAGACCAGGATGAGGCAGATCATCCTGTGGGGCAAAAGAGAAAGGGGGCTGGGAATGAGGCACCCCCACCCCACGGCTGTCGATGGGTGGCTTGCTAGCCAAGGGGGCCATGGGCCCCTCGAACAGCTGTACGAGCAGGACAGGGCGGGAGGCTCTCAAGATGTACAGATGGAAAAATACTAGCGTGCCACCTGCGAGGACACTGTATCCTTGAGCCCCAAAGTAAACGACCACGGAGGAACTTGGTTTGGAGATAAGGAAGTAACCGTGGGTGTGCCGCAGAGATAGTTCCTAAGGCATGAAAACGTGTGTAGCCCATCACCTTTGTGAGTAAGGGGTAGTTACGGGGTTGTTAACTGATCAGCTTGTGGCAAGTTTACTAATATGGTTATGAATAGTCTCACTTTAACAATAAAGCGGGGTTTTCCTGATGCACTCATATCTTGTCATCACTCCCCGCGCGTCTGGACTAGCAAACTCACCAAATCTCAGGACCAGCCCTGGAAGCAGTGGCAAGTGGTGCCCGAACAGGGACCCGGGATTGAAATTAATGGGGACATTAACTGCTTGATCGCCCCACGGCAGCACAGCCCCACACAGTGCTGAAGGGGCCATCTGGGAGCCCTGCTGGTGGCAGTGGGGGTCCAGGCCATCAGCCCCCTGCCGGGAGCCCGGCTGCTGGCGGCTGGGCACGGGGCAATTAGGGGACACTCACTGCATCCAGAAGGCGAGCCCTCATCTCCTCACCTGCTCCTTCTTCTCCCGCAGGTGAACACGGGGCAGGTATGGTGGTCAGGCCCTGCTGCACAGCCAGGGCTCATGCAGGACAGTGGGAGCCTGGCAGCGCAGTGGCACAGCCCCCCGTCCCCAGGGAGACCCTTGTGGGTGGGATGAGGATGCGGTGGGCTCTGCCCCTTACCAGCTGTGCCTCCACCAGCTCCAGCAGCACAGCTCCAGGCACGTGGGCTGCCTCCAGCTCCATCTGATGCTGCTGCCCGTAGGACACAAGGCTTGGTTGGAGGGTGCCGGCCTCTGTCACCGCAGGGGCTCCCCAGCAGTGTGTGCCCACCTCAGGGGGCTGGGATGGGGCTGTTCCGTCACGCCACGTGCCAAACGGAAGCCGAGCCCAAAGCCCAGCAGCACTGCAGCCCCATTGTTGCCCTAGGTGCAGGCATGGGCTGCAGGGCCCAGTCCCACTCACCAGGCATTCTCCA